CTATCTATCTATCTATCTATCTATCTATCTATCTATCTATCTATCTATCTATCATCTCTCTCTCTCTCTGTCTCTCTGTCCTTATCTTTGTCTCTGTCTCTGTCTCTCTCTATCTCTCTACCGACCTACCTATCTATCTAATCACCTATCTATCTATCCCTACCTTTCACTGGAAGCTTTCAAGAAGAGACTGGACTTTCATCTGTGTAGGGTCTCCTGCTTGGGTGGGGGGATGGACTAGATGACCTCCAATTCCCTTAATCTGTAATCTGTAAGATACTTTATGACTTCCTATTATTTGGGTGTCTTCTCTTACCATGTGAAATCAATCACCAAACCAGGAAATGTTCACACAATATGACGAAAAGACATACTAAGAATGGACTTTTCTATGAAACGCAGTCTATTTGTCTTCCAACGCTCAGATTAATTAAGATCTCAAATTGGGCATTCTGCTGCCAACATTCTTCTCAGCCTGTTGTGTGGCTCCTAGAGCGACCACCAAGATTCTGGGACGCGGAAGAAGAGTGGAAAACAATTTCTGGCTTTATTAACCAAATAATTCCCCCTTTGTCTCCCTGGCTTTGCTCCAGCAGTGAGACCCAATGAAAAATCCTGCCTGTTTGTCTATGCCGTCCTTCACAATGGAAGGCTCTCCCATTTCGCTTTGCTCAGAGCTGCTTCTGAATTTCAGCTTTGTTTTCCCGCGCAACATAATTTCCTTCCAGGAAGCTAGAAGTCTATCTCCCAAAGGTTAAAGGTCACAGATGTGGAATGGAGTTGGTTACTGTGGTCTTTTGGAACCATTCTTGGACTCCAACGGTTGCATTTCATTTCACTTTTAAGTTTTGGAGGCTGTGTTGTGGAGTGGTGGCTGGCCCCTAATGCCTGCTGTCAATCACTTGGGTCTTGCAAGCAGGCAGCATATAATTCAGGGGTCCTCAAACCTTTTAAACTGGGGGGGGGGAGGCAATTCACGGTCCCACAGACTCTTCCTATGCACACTGCACGTATCTTATTTGTAGTGCAAAAAATCCACCATGAAATAATAATAATACAATATTTAAAATGCATTCAGTTTTGGTCGCCACGATGTAGAAAACATGTGGAGACTCTAGAAAGAGTAAAGAGAAGAGCAACAAAGAGGATTAGCGGACTGAAGGCTAAAACATATGAGGAACGGTTGCAGGGACTGGGTTTGTCTAGTTTAATNGCTTTAATCGGGCGCGCTTTAGTGGACCGCGGTTTTGTCGTGCCACGACCTCCCAGTAGTCTGACTTTTTAGCCGTTTTATGATTGCTCAGCACAAGAAACACGTTCCACACATAGTTGTTGTCAAAAAACACTCCATTTTATATTACGTACATCAGCTAAACGATTAAAAGCAACGTACAGAGAGACAGCGATACAGTCTCCTTACAGAGCATGTAAAACTGTGAAGCGGAGTCATCCGCGGTGAGGCAGCAGCTAGCTCAGCCTCACCTCAGCCCTCGCCTCAGAGGCTGAGCTCACTGCAGCCTCACCGCAAGTTCTCGCCTGAGTACTTGAACGGCAAATGTGAAAAATCTGCAATTTTAATACCAAATAATGTAAAACTGATGAAGTGAAATGGAAAATAACTTCATGGTACAGATCAGTAGATCAATACAAGGATTTAATTCATTTTTCCCTTTTGCATTTTTTCTTCTTTTCACGATGAGAGGTGAGGCTGTGCCTCACTGGCCTCACCTGACTGCACATCACTGAAGCACACCCATCATTCAATCCTCCCGCTGCCCCCACACACATGCGCGCATGACACACACACCCTGCCCTGTTTGGGCCTAGTAGGCTTCACTGAAGCCTCCGGAGGCCAGAAATGGCCCACAAGTAGGCCCTTTTTTCACCCTCCCCAGGTTCTGGAGGCTTCCCTGAAGCCTGGGGAGGGTGAAAATGGCCTCCCCCAGCCCCCTGGAGGCCTTTCTAAGGCCGAAAGTCAACTAGATGGCGCATGCACGCACACTGCAGCTGACCCAGGGCAATGGCTCGCCTGCCCTCAGAGATGGCTCCGCATGCCACAGGTTCACCATCACGGGCCTAGGAGGTCAAATGAGGGCAATTGCTCAAGCTAAATGCTTATGGATGCTTATTTTCTATTTATTCAGGTTGTCCTGCTGGGCCAGAATTATTTCTGGGTTTCTTGCCTGGTGCTTGCAGGTTTTATCATATTACAGGTATGCGGTCAAGGTAAGGAGCTCTTCCCATCTTCCCGTTGAATATTGGAACAAAGATAAATGGATGCTTGTCCAGAAGTGGGTTTGGATAGTCTCTCTGGGTCTCGTTTTGAGTATGGTGCTGTGTTGTCTTAACTGTCATACAATATGGCAGTTTTAGAGTTGTGATTTTTTACACAAGGGGCAGGAAATAAGGGTAGGCGACTATTTGGCCCATTTCTTTATTTGGTTATGGATTTGAAAGAAAAGGAAGCAGGGCATTTATTTTTCCCTCTCTACATATCTGCATTTCTCCTTCTCCTTATATTAGTGGTTTTCTCTACTATAATGGGCTCTCTCTCTCTCTCTCTCTCTCTCTCTCTCTCTCTCTCATACCTATCAATCATATCTATCTATCTATCTATCTATCTATCTATCTATCTATCTATCTATCTATCTATCTATCT